CTCTCCTTCGTCGTGTCGTCGTCCTCCACCACTACTATATAAAAACGTAAGTTAAGTAATAGTGTGTGTATATATATATATATATATATATATATATATATATATATTGTATTTGGTTATCTGCCACTGACTATACATTTTTCTTCTCACACATACGTGATTAATTTTTACAACTTCATTTGAAGTAAGTTATTACAACTAAGTTATATATCGTTAAGGTGTTTTTAAACAACTTATTGAAATATCAGTTTAGACATAAATATTTCCAAATGATAAAATATACAAAAATAAGTCTGTAAACTAAGTGCTTTTAATGTGATCTGACAAGTTTTGTTATCGATAATGTTACTGCTGAAATACTTAAATCAACCATTAGCTAAAATTCACTTTTCTTTTTTTGTTTTAAACTACACAATGTCAGTGATTTTAGTATATGTCCAGATTTGTAGTTGGGTTAACTTTGCATATTTATGAATGGTAAGTAGATCTTATTCTTGACTTTTATTTAATATCAAAATCAAATAAAGTAATTTAAGAAACTCCACTGAAGAAAGCAAAATAAACAACTCCATTAATTTTACATCCATGGCATCTAATACATCTGAGCTGTATACTAGTATGTCTGTGGAATAGTAATGATAAAGCCAAAAGTCCAGCCACAGAACCAACATCAAAGCTATCAGTTTCACATGATCAATTCCATTGCACGATTGCTAATGATAGTTTAACCATTTCAACCTGTGAACTCCAACTTTTCATGGAAACTGGTTTAAGGACTTTTAATAGCTGCAATATACTGCAAGTATAATGATTCATTGCTGTGCTTTACTTGCAACAAACAGAATAAAAATATGAACTTGGGAACTGCTAAAATTAAAAAGTAATCATTCATATCGGATTCTCTAAATGGAAAAGAGATTAAACGAGATGGCTGTTGATTTTGAAGTATATATCCAAAATAATCATGGCTATGTACTAGAAATGTTTACTGAAGCAAACAAAGAGGATGGAAAATAACCATCAGTGTTGATCAAAAGTCATAGTGTTTGGATCTTGATAGACAGGTACAGCTAAGACTAGGTTTAATACAGTGTTTTGGGAGAGAGGAACAGCCAGGCCAAAACAATACAGTATCTTGACAAAAAGAGACAGCCATGATAAGTTGGTACAGTCTATTGGGAGAGAAGAACAGCCACGACAAAGTGATACAGTATCTTGGTACACAGGAATAGCCAGGACAAAGTGCTATACAGTAACTTGGTAGACAGGAACAGCTATATCAAGGTGATATAGCATCTTGGCAGACAGGTACAACCAAAATAAGGTGATACAGCATCTTGGTGAATAAAGATTGTCAGAACAACACCATATACACATGGAAACTAATTTTATACAGCTCCTAAACTAAGAGGCAAAAACAATCACTTACTTTTGAAATGATTAAAATAAAAAGGTACTAGATATACATGTCATAACATTTAAAATGGCACAACGTCTGTGATATCTCAAATGTTTCTACTTAATTCTTTGTGATGAAGACACTGACATTTGTACCAACGTACAATTAATGCTTTGTATCCAACAGATTGATACAAAGTTAAACCCATGAAAATTTTATTGGATTTTACCATATACCTGACATCAGTGCACAAACTATCATATCAGTTATTAAAGATAACCTCGTAAGACCCCAGTTGTACCTAGCTGATTGTATAAAACAGTACCAGCAATTCATGTGTTGCCAAATGAATCCAGCATACTCAGTCAAAGGCTCATTAATGAATTCAGGATACTTCAGTCAAAGGCTCATTAATGAATCCAGGATACTCAGTCAGAGGCTCATTAATGAATCCACGATACTCAGTCAAAGGCTTGTTCTATTCATTGTAATGGATATTCCTTAATTTTAAGTGTTAAAGATATAAAAAACTAAAACATTATCAGAAACAATGGATACCTTTAAAAAGGCTACACAGCTGATAAAGTTTTCTCCTGAATGTGGGAATCTCCTAGGAGAAATAAAGGAGATTCTTAAATAGGAGGAGGCCACTTCCAGTTGTATTATAATACTTTTCCTTACAAGATGGAGAGTCTGAGCTAGGTGTTTCCAAAGAATGTGTTAACTATCTTGAGAAGAAACTCCAGCCTGACAAGAGGGGTCAGGTTATTAGGTGTAAAGCTCAAATGAACACTTTTTATGTCTTCTTTGGCCTAAACTTGAGTGAATGACCAAAACTTTGCCAACGACATCTGTCAATGGTCAACATTTTGTTAATCTGACAAAGATGATTCAACAGAAAATACAGAACAATGAAGTCATTCTTCTGAAAAGTAAAAAGTATCTGTCCATCTTAGAACCAACTCTACCTAGAATGAAATGTGCTTCTGTGTTGGCAAAGGAAAACCATCAAATTCACTACGAGCATAACCATTTTTTTTTGAAGTCCTTGCTCTATTGATCTCTGCAATTACTTCAGCAAAGCTACAGTGTTTGGCTACAAATTACGCTGGTGATGTCAACATCAATGCCTTCAAAGTTTAACTGCCTATTTTCAATATCTTGATGGAGGGATGTGATGAAACCTGCTTTAAAGACATCCTTCAGAAAGTTAAAAAAAATGTCTCAACCTGAAAAGGTGAAGATACAGCTTGTTGATACAGTTTATAAGTGTCTCCATGTGAACCCAAAGATTCAACAATGTCCCACAGAACACCCAGCAGCCTGAAAACCACAAAGATAGAACAGATCAGCTCTGCTTGCGTGATAATGCCAAAGGATTTACCTCTCAAAACAAAAATTGTGAACAAAGGTTTAGTATGTTCTCTGACGCTAATTTTTGAGAATCAGGGTTACAGTGAAGTGTAATTTGTTGTTCACTATAGGAAATACATATACTTTTAACCACAATGATATTATATGCCCTCGCAGGTCATCATTGCCTTGTTAAGGTAAAAGATTTTTTTGTAAGCACATGTTTTATTGCAAGTCATTATTTTGTGTAAAACTAAAATATGGATGTTTCATCCACAGTTTGCTAGTTTCTGATCAACACCCAATTTATATTTTTGTCAGTGCTCCCACTCACAATATATAGTTCTGCAGTGTGTGATAAAATCCGTAAGTCCAAAAGGTACTCATCACCTATTGATACAAGCATGATGAACAGTCATATTGTATTATTTCTGCCAACAAACTGCTTAACAATGTTTAAAATAAAACTTAAACACTATATTAAAAACATTCCAACAGTGTATTGAAATTTATGTAGGTTCTGATGAAACTATTTTTTAAATTGGAAACTTTCACAAAATCATAAATAGTTACATACCACCAGTAGAACACAAGGGTTCAGGGGAATACTTGGGTTTCTATTCACTAACTTAAAAACACACACACACACAAAGAAACTATCTCGAGTATTTTCACCTTAAACAAACATTTCCACTGTTGGTACTCCCCTACAATCATAACATATAAAGGATATATGACTTTATAAATCTGTGTGAAAACATTTCCACTGTTGGTACTCCCCTACAACCATAACATATAAAGGATATATGACTTTATAAATCTGTGTGAAAACATTTCCACTGTTGGTACTCCCCTACAACCATAACATATAAAGGATATATGACTTTATAAATCTGTGTGAAAACATTTCCACTGTTGGTACTCCCCTACAACCATAACATATAAAGGATATATGACTTTTTAAATCTGTGTGATAAGGAACTACAATATAAGTAAGCAATGCTCCAGATACAATGCATATCCATGTAAATATGCATTTTTTTTACATACAAATTGCATTAGAAATAAAAATACACATGCTATTTGTCTGTACATGTATCATTCATATACATGTATATATATTATTTGCTAGTTAAAAGGAAAGAAACATAAAGCATGCAAGATTATACCATAAACTGAGTGATGAGTTATAAAAACAATTCATAGGATATATTGTAAAGTCCTTTATATCAAATCCTACAAATTCTTTGCATTCTACCACTATATGTGGGTCTACTTTATTTTTGGGTTTTTTTTTTCCTCTCCCAAGTGGTACTGAACTGCACTTTGATGAAACAAACTATAGTCTACTGCAGAGACAGTAGTAACTCAAGTAACAGATTAGGCTGTTATGTCATTCACAGATTCTTTCTTTCTTGACTGAAATTACAAGTTTTAGTTTAACTTGACTGAAATTACAAGTTTTAGTGATAAAAAGTACAAGTCACAAATGAATTATACAGCAATTACCTGTAGTTTTGTGTTACTGTTGAACTGAAAATTACAGAAGTCTAATTTTCTTAATCAACATCAACCAAGCACTTACTGTACTGAATACAACCTGTAATTGTCTCAGTTAATATTTTATAGAACATTAATATCAAAATCAGAAGATCAATGCCTAGGAAACACAACAAAACAGTTTCAAAATTTCAGCCACTGACACTTGAAATTAAAGAAGTTTTCCAGTGTGGAATTTTTATTTTTAGCATTTCGGGTTATTTCAAGGAGCAAAATTCTCGTTATGTCAAAAGAGCTTACCTGGAGCACTGAATAAGGATATATTCACATTTATCTGTGAGTACAGAAATATTATAAAGACAGGTGACAATTTTTGTTTGAGTAGTAAAGCTAAGTGGAAATCTCACTTTGAAGTGAGAATAATATATAGTTGTGAGCAAAGGCATTAGCACCAAAAAGGTATTGTGTATACCATTACTAATCCTCTAGTCTTTCAATAAACAGAAGTATAGAAAGATACTCATGGCAACACCAAAGAGAAAAACTGCAATCAGCCACTGGTAAATCGGCCATCTAGAATTTTCTAAGAATACATCTTTTTGGAATTTTCTGTGTTTCTTTCTTTTCCCTTCAAATTTCCGCTGGAGTTCTTCCATTTCTTTCTGCTGCCGTTGCTGTTCTTCTTCCTTCAGCTTCTGCTCTAGGGCAGACTTTTCTCTTTCATCCTTTTCTTGTGCTTCTACACATAAGTTGTCGCAAAGAATCACAGCATCCCCATTTTGTTTCATCGTGCAGGGGAACTCCTGCTTTTGTCTTTTACACTGACAGCGAACAGTAACTTTCTTTTTGCAGTTTGTTGAATTGGGACATTCCCCTTGATGGCAAAGTATTGGACAGCGATGACCACAGGAGATCTATTATAATAGCATCAAAGAATAAACAAAAATTAACAGATATGTTTAAAAATTCAATTTAATTGCTCAAAGTACTCAATAAATTGTTAGTTTAGAATTTCCATAAAAAGCTACATTGTACACAGTTGTCCCTAATTTTGAACTGACAGATGGAAGGCAGCTATCAACAAGACTCAACGTCAACTCTTGGCTTACTTTTGTCTGACTGAATAGTGAAACATGCCCATCACTCTAATAGAACACCCATGGCCCAAAAGTATGGAGTGTATTTTGTGGCAATGGGTCACAAACCATGGATCTTCATAACAACAGTCCAAACATACTAACCACTAGGCCATATTCAGCCCTACAATAAATTAACTGATTTGGTCTTTCACAATAATAAACACATTAATGAGTTCTGAAAGATTGACCAAGATATTTATCATATTTTTCAGAATATAAGATGCACCCTTATTTTGAAGACAAAGTTTTGGGGAAAAAAAAACTACAGTTGCATTTGAAAGATTTTTATTGAACAAAAATTCAATTTGATACTTTAAAAATTAGTATATACTGTTCTACACACAAAAGAGTTCAAAACATCAAAATAAGAAAATATCGTACATCAAAAAAAGATTTACTGTTATTTAATTTGGTTCAAAACCTACAACTGTTGCTTGAAAAGGAATCATTGGTCAAAGAGAATGTCATCCTCGGTCCGATCCATTGCGTTACTGATACCACATTTCTTAAATGACTTAATCACTATATCACTTCTTACTTTTTCCCATGAATTCTTCACCCACATGCAGACCTGAGCAAGCGTCGGTCTCTTCCTTCGTCCTGTAGGGGTCATAGCAAAATCTTCCTCATCTAGTTATTCCATTCCTCTCTCATTAAAGTCTTAAAGGGTTTGTTAATAGAAACATCGAGAGGTTGCAGTTGACTTGGTAAACCACCGGTTATAACCGCCAGCTGTGCTCATTAGCTTTTTCCTTTATGTTTTCCATTATATGAGCTCTAAAGGAATCCCAGACGAGGAGAGAAGGTTTTTTTAATAAGCCTCCTGGACGTTTCGACCAAATTTTTTCAAACCAAAGTAGTGTTCCGTCTTAAATCCATCCATCCATCCTTTTTCATGTACGTGAACATAGACACACCGTCGGGTAAATTTTCTTTGGGCGTTGTTTTTCTTTTAAAAATTAAAATTGGTGATCATTTTGTTCCATCTGCACAACATGCTAGCACCACTGTATAATGCATTTTTTTCGTGTCCAGTAGTCTTAACAGTAATAGTTTTAGTACCTTTTATATCAGTTGTTCTATTGCTTGGAACATCAAATGTTAAAGGTGTTTCATCCATATTTGCTATTTGAGACAATTCAAATGGAGTTTTTTTCTTAACTGTATAATATACTTGTGAAAAGCACACATTTTCATCTTAAACTCATCGGGCATTCTTTGAGCAATTTTCGTTTTAGTTCTCATAACTAGGCCTTTGTGTTTCATGAACCGATAACACCAAGATGTATGACCAGTAAAATCTTGTAATCTATTATCACATGCAATCCTCTTTGTTTTAAAAATTATTGTAGAAACTGATAGTCCTTGCCTTCTCTGATCCACAAACCATTCGTACAGTTTATTTTCGAGATCTTGCCATTTTGTTTTTTTTCCTCGGAAATTGCGTTTATCACTTTTAATCATTTTCAATTCTTCTTCTTGTTCGCGCCAGCAACGAATCATTTTTTCTGTTGGTGGAAGACCAAAATATCTTTCGGCAGCTCTGTTTCCATGCTCTTTTGCATAATT